GCTTATGGGTTCCCATATGGCAAGTGCTCTGCAGAAATAAATATTTCTTGTGTCTGTCCCATAATACTTAATCTCTATCTCTTAATAAAATTATATAATTGAATATATGTTCCGCTGTATATTTTTTTTCCATTTGATTCCATTTAATTATCATCATCATACCCTCTCATATTTATATAGTTAGTTTGTGTATATTGCTTTTAAACTAAGTTTTTTCAGCATTTTAAATACATGAAAAAAGGAGTAAAAAGATATTTTTTACATGGTTGTATTAATTATTATAGAATCATCTTTGTGAATATGCAAATCACTAACACCTACTTCAGCTCCTTGCCAAAATTACCGAGAATGCATTATGCCTTCTTAGTCAGTTTCATTTCAAATAATGTTTTAATAAGATTTTCAAGTCACAGTGATATAAATTGTGAGGCTGCCTACATTATTCTCCACCCTGTTGTACAGGTTATAACACAGTGGTGGGTGAGCGAGGACTGAAGCTGAGTGGGGGAGAGAAACAGAGGGTGGCCATTGCCAGGACCATACTGAAGAACCCCCAGATTGTACTGTTAGATGAGGTCAGTATATAGTTTTTATCTGACATTTCTCTAAATGGCTCACAGACTCTTCTAGATATGTTGTTGAAGAAATATTGGAGACCTATGATTACATAGCAAAACACAAAAATTACCAAACAAACCTGTGAACCTTAAGCTGACATAGGGAATTATGTTTTCACAAATTGAAACCACCATCACTGCTACTAATGGAAAGAAAAGAAAAGTTGTTAATATTTCTGTGCGATCTCTATTTTTATTTGGTTTTGTAGGCAACCTCGGCGTTGGACACTAAGACTGAACGCAACATACAGACCTCTCTGGAGAGAGTGTGTGAGAACAGAACCACCATCATAGTGGCTCACCGACTCTCTACCATCATACATGCTCATCAGATACTGGTGATGAAGGAGGGCGTCATTGTTGAAAGGGGGACGTAAGTATAAACATACACGCTCATCAGATAATTGTGATGATAGAGAGCTTCATTGTAGAGAAAGGGACGTAAGTATATGTAGAAAGAGGAAGGATTATCATGTTAATATATGCACAAGCTCACAGATTATAGAACACGAATTAAAGAAAGGATTGTTGTCAAAAGGGGAATATAATTGTTAAGAAAAAGGGATCAATTTAATGCATAAATGATTATTTTGAAACTTTCTAACTTTTGCCCATTTCAAATTTGTCCATTATAATAGCAGATTTATGTTTTAAAAACAGAAGCTGTGATTTTCAGCAGGTTGGTTAAATCAGGGATATGTTACACTTCACAATATGTACAAATTGTTGTATTCTGGTGAAAAAAATAGCATGTAAAACATGTTTTAACCTATTAGGTGGTGCTGCACACTCCTATAAACCTTGCCGTTATCAAACATTTCTCTTTACAGCCATGATCAGCTTCTACAAGTGAATGGTTTCTATGCCGACATGTGGCATCAACAACTGACTAAGAAAGAGGAAGCCGGCAACGATAAACACAACGGAACAGAGGACGCAGGAAGTATAAATAACGACGCCGACGCTTCCTAATTACAGGAAGTATTGATAACGACACCGATGCTTCCTAATTACAGAGTGGGGTTTTTTCTGTCTTTCAGGGTCAGATTTTAACTAAAGAATTTTCTTCATATTAGAAGGAATACTATAATAGTCAAATATTATAATTTTTATACCAGGTGTTTGGTAATACATGTATCTTGTTTTTGGCACTACAATTATTTGTTTATGATTTTTTTTTTTTTTGGGGTGATATTCACTTGTTTTAATCTAAGAGCTCATTTTTTGTCATTTTTTTAATCAAACAACGGATCTGAGTTTAGGGATATTGAATTATACCTCTATTTGAATTTGTCACTTCTGCCAGCCATAGCTTTACCATTTTAATCTTGATTATCTCCACGACTTCTCAAGTAATTCTAGGGTGTGAACTATTTCATTTGCTCCTTATGGTGTGTCATTTAACATCTCAAAAGATTAAAAAGAGAATAAAATCTTTAGAAGAGAAGTCTATAAAAAGTCTTTATTGTTTTGGTGAGGTATGCATAATAAACAAAATAATAACATTTCATGTTTCATATAGATATGGTTCATGATATAAATTGGGGTATAGTTTCAAGTTTTATTTAGATCATGTAGATAGGTATTAGGATAAAAATATTATTTTAAAAGTGGTACATGTAGTCTGTGATGATTTTTGATGCCATACATTGATCTCTTCACTACCAGTTCTAATTATTGGGATTCCATTATATGTCCACAGTCACTCAACAGACTCTACAAAATAGATGCATTAACAGATGTAACAAACATGTATTCACATTTTTTTCTTTGGAAATTTAAGTACCATTATTTTCTACCCCCGTTTTAAACAATTAAACATTATAAATACTTGTGATTCCTTAGATTTATTAATAATACGGAAAAAGATTTATATGTGCAATATAAATGTAAATACTAGCTATCAATAAAAGTGCTGGATGAAAATACACACTGTATTCAATATTTATATTTCTATGGTCCCTTTTGTAATACTACCATGATGATAGTCTGGGATATTGATGTGCACAGTAGACATTAAATCTTTTTATTGATGAAATCCACATTCAGTTCTGACTGAAATACATGTAATTTTAAATATTAATATTTAACTCTCAAAGAGTTATCAAGAACAGTCAGAAATGTACATATTTTGTAGTATGCCATATAAGATGATATTGTAAATGTTGGATATTAAGGACTGATGATACAAACTTTAATCATAGAATATGACAATAACAACTTGGGTCATGTTTAAATGAGTAAAATAAATAACTTTCACCACATACTTCTTAATTCAAATTTGCACAAAAATGGAATTTGAAGTAAAAAAATATTTCCATAGATTAATAAGGATGGTTTCAGAAGAGCAGACTTTTGAACATCACAGAAGGTTTACAATTTCTTTTTATTCTAGAAATTTATTATTTGGGTCATATGCAATTAAATTATGCCAAAAAATATATACCATTCCTAGCATCAATTTTTTGGGGTATCATCTGTCCTTAATCAGAGAGATCTGTAAGCATTGCAGTCTTCTAAAAAAACTCTACAATAGTGAATGCTTGTGCTTTAAATTCATGTAGAAAATTATTTTTAATTATTTACTCTATGGAATTTCTATTCACACTACAGCTTGTTATCAACATAGTTGTCTGTGATATGTTGTTTAAAGTTTTATTTACTGTAGTATAAGTATTATACAGAGTTTGGTATTTCAGTTCTTTTTTTTTCCATCACACTTTGTAATTTTCACTCATACATCAAGGGCATTTAAATATCCCACAAACATCAAGGGCATTCACAAATAAAATTTTGAAAAATTGGCAAGACTTTTCCAGCACGAATATATTTCAATTTCAATTAATGAAAGGTTTGGTAATAAAGTAGCAAGGGATATACATTTTACTAGTGTTGGCAAATCGGACGATTTTTAGTAACCGGTTACTCGCTTCATCTTCCGATCGAGTACCCGGTTACTCGGATGATTTTTGGTAAAAGTATCAATATCTTTTATATATCTTATTCTATACTTATCGCTGTAGTAATGCACAAATACACTGTATAGGGACATTATATTTACAATACACATACGATATCGCCATATATTTACGATTTTTAAATAAAGAAAATTAATATAGGGAATTCGACACACAAAGAAGACAAATAAATACGTCATCGTCAATCAACATTTTACACTTTCCTTTTCAGACCCTGAAATATGTCGCAATCAAGTAGCATAATTATTTACATGCTCCATAATTAATAGTTACTTATGTAATGTGTGGATTGTCCAATAAATCGCTGATTATTTTAAGCTTAGGTGATTTAACAGATTTTGAATCAGCTGTTTTTTTGTTACAACTCCAAGCTAATTATGTTTGCGGCGGCATTTCGTTAAATTATCAAATGAGGTAATTATAACTCAGGCCTTCAAAATTTGTTTACCCAAGCAATCACAGCTATCAATTATATGTACCGGTAAACTGTGAAAACTAATCAAAATAATTTGATCCACTACAACCATGCACTAGATCAAGTCTAACGGTACCCCAAATTAAGGAAATGTGTAAGTTAGTATACATTTAAATTACAAAACATTCATTTTCTATGCCTTTACTATGTAAACTTTATTTTATCCGAGTAACCGAATAGCAACTAGTTTTACTAACCGATACTCGCATCCTTCGACGGTGAACCGGTTAACCGGGTACTCGTTGCCAACACTACATTTTACTGTAATTTTTAATTTTTTACTTTTTTGGTTTTTTATAAAATTATCACACAGCCTTTTTGCCATATATTTGTGTAAAAATCACAATATCTATTAAGAAACAGTATCAATAAACTATGTCTCACTTTTCTGATAGGTGTCAATAAGATATATATTACTTGGTGCTTATGTAATAAAATATTTTTATAGAAATGCATTTTTTTGAAAGATTGACAGAAAATTCTTCAACATAGATGTATGTAGTTTCAGAAATAACAACTCTACAAAAGACTTCTATATTGTATTAGCTTGTTTATTTCATTAACTTTTAATTATTAAATCATTTCCAATGGAATAAAATTTTAAGGCAAATAGATAACTAAAAGAAAATTATTACAAAATTAGAAGTGTAGCTTAATTATGTATATAAGCTTTACAATAATTTATATTTTATTTACAAGATTGTCTGTTCATCACATTCATTTACACATTGAATATATTTAATTTGTTCTATGTGTTAAATTTACCAGTGTAGTAAATCTTTGTTAGTGCATTTATTTTGCAATAAAGATATCTTAAAAGTATAGCAAGATTTGTTAATTGTTAATTCTCTATTTAATTCAGAGGTGAAACTGTTCAAGCAATGATTATTATAAGAAGTTAACACAGTTGATACATGCATATGTTAAAGATGAATGACCCAAACTCGATCAACTAACAAACATTGTCAGTAGTGTTAAAAGTAAAATATATATTGCACTCAACTTACATGCATTAATGAAAGTTAACAAAGATAACATTTTTTATTTTTTCCCATTTGAAATAATTTGAGGAAATGTGTAAGTATGCGTCAGTGTCTTCCTTTATCCTGAATATATAGTACATCATGTGTTTCTCTTCTTGGAATCTTCATTTTCAAACATCACATGAGCACCTCTTAAAAAAGAAACAATTAAATCGATTTACATGAATTAAGAGTATTAGTTTATTTATCTTGCAATATAACATTTACAATTACATTAATATGTTCATTAAAGTAAATTTGTACAAGAAATATACATGACAATTTGCATGAATATCACAAAAGATATTGTTCGAGACCATTTTTTATCATCCAGAATTTGCAGAACTATAAAAGATTTTGGCAGGAGAAAGGGATTAAATTTTAAATTAGGGAATAAATATCTTCTAATTTGGAATTTGCGACCGTTAATGCTGATTTAACGGTCGCAAACAAGTTTTACCGGCGACGCGTTACAAGCGCAAATACCAAATTAGAAGATTAGTTATTCCCATTCTAATGCAATCCATGCATTTTTTTTGTTTAAGCCTTATTTTGATGAATTTTGTTTCAAGAAAATACGTCACGGAGCATTGTGATTTTGCGTCGCTCTATACTGAGGTCACAATGAAAAAGCTATCACGCTCGTTAATGCTCGTTTTACTGATTCAAATATCAGTGCATTAGCCCAACAAAAAAACAATTGCATTAGAATATTAGATAAACTTCTTGATTTGAACTGAGCTCAGTCAGGGACCACTCAACTGGCTAGGGACGTATTACAGGTAACTAGGGATGTATTACAGGTAACTAAGGACGTATGTCAGGGACCGCTCTACTGGTTAGGGACGTATTACAGGTAAATAGGGACGTATTACAGGTAAAAAGGGATGTATTACAGGTAAATAGAAGCTCAGGGACCACTCAACTGGTTAGGGACGTATTACAGGTAAGTATGGACGTATTAAAGGTAAGTAGGGATGTATCACAGGTAACTAGGGACGTATTACAGGTAAATAGGAGCTCAGTCAGGGACCACTCAACTGGTAAGGGATGTATTACAGGTAAGTAGGTATGCATTACAGGTAACTAGGGACGTATTACAAGTAAGTAGGGATGTATTACAGGTTAATAGGGACGTATCACAGGCAACTCGGGACGTATTACTGTAATACAGGTAAGTAGGGACGTATTACAGGTAACTAGTACCTCAGTCAGGGACCACTCAACTGGTTAGGGACGTATTACAGGTAAATAGTACCTCAGTAAGGGACCACTCAACTGGTTAGGGTCATGTATTACAGATAAGTAGGGACGTATCACAGGTAACTAGGGACGTATTACAGGTAAATAGGAGCTCAGTCAGGGACCACTCAACTGGATAGGGTCACGTATTACAGGTGAGTAGGGACGTATTACAGGTAAGTAGGGAATTATTACAGGTAAATAGTACCTCAGTAAGGGACCACTCAACTGGTTAGGGATGTATTACAGGTACGTAGGGACGTATTACAGGTAAATAGGGACGTATTAAAGGTAACTAGGGACGTATTACAGGTAAATAGGAGCTCAGTCAGGGACTACTCAACTGGATAGGGTCAGTATTACAGGTAAGTAGGGACGTATTACAGGTAAGTACGGACGTA